TTTTTTTTTTTTTTTTTTTTTTTCATTTGTATCTTACTGCAACTGTGTGAAAGTGGAAAATACCTTCTGCAGAGGTCCAGAAACTCTCTGGTCAGATAAGGCAGGTCTCATCAGTATGGACTGCTGTTCTCAGACACCTGTCTTGGTCTAGCTGCCATCACTTATAGCCATTATTCCCACGCATCATGAAAAAAACCCAATATCCTGCTATTCCCTATACAGTCCAAGGTTCCATGTAGTGCCAGTGGTTATATTGGGAAGTATAAAGTTTGTGAAGATAACATCTAAAAAGGGTTTGTTGCTTCATAGCTGGTAACTGCTTTGCAATTAGCTTCACTAAGATAAAGAATTGCTTTTTAAGTGACTCATTCTCTGTTATGATTTAATTCTGAGAAACATTAAGAAAGGAGCTTGTAAATATCTTCAAGTAAGTCAACAATGTTACTTTAAAGAGTTTGCTTTCCAAAGTGTATCACAGGAAGTTAATAACCTAAAATTTGGGTTAGGAAATCTTCTTACTAAAGGCTTAACAGAATACCATGTAAACAACATTCATCTAATGAGCATTTCTAGTTCAACTGGGGTGAACACTGGGGTGAAAGGATATACTCGCATGCTTTGAAATATTTGCATGTTTATAATAATCAATTCCATTAAGTAACTGAAAACAAATAGTTTACTAAAGCACCCAAATGCTTTTCAGTCTGGTGTTCCCTTTCAGCACAATAAAATTGGTTAAATATTTTATAATAAAAATAAACTGCCCTCTAAATGTAGAAGCAGATAAGCAAGCTAAATGACAAAATTATGCCTTTTTGTAAAGATAATATTTAGTACATTCTGCAAGAGAGAAACATATTTATAAAATGTATGAGTTCCAGATGTTAAAGTGCAGTAAACTGCAGCACAAATATTCTGCAAAGAAATAGTAGTCGAAATATTTCCAGCACTTGAGGGTAATGGGTTTAGTGTTTGTGAATCCTTGTACTTTCTCTTCAATAACCGAAGCACACTGTGTATTTTTTGTCCCCAAGAAAGATAATTCAAGCAGTGGTTGCTAATTTCTTTGAGCTTGTGTCCTCCACTACTCGTTTGAGTCTGACTTTTCTGTGGGGCTTAAAATCCCAGGTATATGTACGGCAGCCTATTTGGAATCACAATGCTTGTTGTAGAAACCACTAATCTGAACAAAGGCAGAAGCCAGGATGAAAGCTAAGCACGAATGCTCAAACTCCAACTTATGGGCCAAATCCAGCCCACAAAGCTATGGTATCCAGCATGTGGGGATCCTTGTGGGTCAGAAAAATTGGCAGCTGGAGAGCAGTGGAAGCTCTGCATGGCCAGATCCAGCCCTACCCAAGCTATTGCCATACAGTGGGATCAGGGCCAGGCCTGCCCCCCAGACATCAAGATTTGGCCAGGCTGCTCCCTGTCCACCACCACCACCCTGGGTCCAGATTGAGTTCAGAATGCCCCCTCCTCCCCCCAAAGGATGGATCAGCTGAGCTGTGCACCTCCTGCCCCCAGTCAAGCCAGGCCCCACTGTGCCAGTCCCATGTACTGGACTGAGCTCACTGACCAGATCCTAGTTTAGATCTGGCCTGTGGATGGACCTGACACTATGCATCCAGCCCATGGGGCAAAAAGGTTGGGCACTACTGATCCAAAGTATCTCTGATATACAGAGCCATCTCTGATATATGAGTGGTTCTTTGCTATTACATCAAAGTGTTTCTTTGCTTTTCCTTTTTATAAGTGCTTTGCTCCTCTATCTCCTTTTAGGAATGACTATCCCTGAAGAAGATGCAGATGTGGGGCAAGGTAGTAAATACTGCCTTGTGGCAATAGGGCGGCTTCAGGTAAAGACCATCTTTCAGTTATATAAGTTGCTGCTGAGAGCAATAGTTGTGTTTGTAGTTCAGTCACATAAAGAAATCTGACAGGGTCTGATCACTAGATTAAATGCCTGTGATTATGTCCCCCCCAAAAAATTTCTGTGATGCCTGTTGGTCAAGTGATTTGCTTAGAGGTTAGATGGGCTGCAGAAATGATTCTCCCATAAAGTTACATGGGTGGTCTGTAAAAGGAAGAGATTTGAGGATAGACACTGATGTGTATTTATTTCTCTAGTTCCTGGTTAATAAAGTTTAATCAAACAGGAAAAAATGTGTTTCAAAGTCCACGTGGAAAATGCTACTGTTAATGCAGTCAGGAGGCTCTCAATGCTTTGCCAGCCATAGCTTCTTTTTTCCCCCCATTGTTTTATATGACCCAACCCCATGCAAAAATATATGAAAAGGTTTTGTCCAGCACATCCATATTTGACGTCTCCAGTAGAACTGTGCCTTTATACAAAGCTCAAGCCTTTGAGCTAGGAGTCCTAGGAGGTCAGAGCACTGATTTAGAGTTGGAGTTATCTTTGTGAATCTCCTAAATCATAAAAACAAGCCATTTTTTATGTTCTTATCTGGGAATCCTTCCATTAGTAAAAACATTTGATCCTAAAGAATGGTCTCTTCTTGGCCTCCACTTGTGCCCATCTGTTGGGATGGCCTAGTTCCTTCTTACAAGGTAAATGGCACTTTCATTAGAGCAGAGCTGCCAAGCTAGTACCATTTGGAATGAGCAACTTGCATATTACTGGAAAATCTGTTATCACTTCAGCAAAAAGCATCTCTTCTATGTTAACCTCACCAAACTATCAGATAGCATTTTTTTTACTTCATCACACTTATCTGTGCACTGAGAAAATAGCCAAGTGGTATAGAGAAGGAAAGTAGGGGCTTTCCAGATGTAACTGCTGCCAAAATAGACAGTTGCCCAGAAATCACATTAATAATATATGCAATGTCTGAGCATCTCTTACACAAGCCAGCAGCTGCTTCATGAGGGAAGGCAACTGAGGTCAGGCCCAAGGGACAAGGTCTAGCACAGAGCAGTAAAGAGCCCCAATTAATACTTAGGCATTCGTGGAATTAATTTGCAAATTGAAAGCAAATAGTCTGCTTATTCTGGCCCACGAGCTGCTGCATTTTGGGGGACAGACCAAAAAAGAGTCTGGTGTTTGGCTGCATGGGGTGTAAGGGAAAGGCAGAGCAAAGACAGCTTTCACTCACAGCCCAGCTAGGAATGGATAGAAGTAGATGGATTGCATAAATCTCAAACACAGAAATGCTTAATTCATTCTGAAGAACCTTCACTAGGAAATCTTTAAGGGTGATCATTTGCACTAACATCATGTCTTGCGTGCTGCAGAGAGCTGTGTCTAGAGTTTGATGGCCGCTTAGATTAGCTGTTACAACCTTCTATGTGAGGATATCTTTAATATCGTAGTTACCTGAATCCAAGATGACTTCATGTTTAAGATGACCCTCCAATCATTAGATTTCGATATGTGAAAAAGCAGAAATTTGTTATAATTTTCCATGTGAAGAATCTAATTATTGGCAGGTAGTCTTACATTCC